ACTGGCTGCCTGCCTCACAAATCCAGACACCACTGCTAAACTTATTTGAGAAGCTGTTGCGATGGCTTCTACCAATTCTAACACAGTGTGCTGGCTAGGTGGGGACTGTACAATACAGACTGCTTCTCAACAATTATTTGCTGAACAGAACAGAAAATGCTCTAACCCTTTTAAGATGTTCTAGGAAAAAAACTGTTGCAGTCTTTCCATCCCACCCAATCCCCAGCCAATCTGCCTTCTCAGGGGCAATTTCTGAAGGGGCTGCCCTACTGAGTGGCCACGTCCCAGAAGACCATGGTGCAAGGAAAACCGGGCAGCAGCGAGATGGGACAGGGAGTATCTCCTGCTAAAGCAAATGCCCAACTCCTTGGTTCAGTCTACAGCTGTGTCTCCTCAGAAGCGGCTTCCTCCAGCAGTCCAGATCTTCATTCCAGGCAAGCCTATCTTTCTTCTTGCCTCTCCCTACTTCTGAGTTTTCCTGGTGGGAGCCAAAGAAATAGATATCATGGAAAAGAACTCTGAAACTGTAAGCTCTTGTAAATAAAATTGTTCTAATCGCAATCATTCTATGACCTTGGTTTCATTTTAATAAAAGGCTCTGCCCATGATCCCTAAAGAGGGATCCAGGAATTCACTAAAGTTTGCATAAACATAATCTTTTTCTTTCTGTAGGTATAGAAGTGCCTTGCTCACAAATGCACCTTGCATTTCCTTTGATAGGAGAGTTTTCCCTAGATATGTAATAGAATAAACAAGAAGCTCTAATCCTGTTGAGCAGAGGACAATCTTTTGTCCATATTTCTTACCAACCCAGTGGTCTCTGCCCTCAAAGTACCTGGATATTTACTTCCTCGAGACCAGGTGACCAGTATCCAGGACAGTGTATTTGCTGTGAAATCTTTACTAATGGTGTTTATATGGGATCTCTAGGTTGCCCATCTACTTCCTGACACCAGGAACAGTCTGCCTCTTCCTTTGCTCTTGCTGGAGACAACAGACCACACTCTTGTAAGCAAGTATAAGAGTTTTTTTGTTGTTGTTTATTCAGCTGCATAGCTTGGAGAACTTCCTGCTATCAGCGAATTGCAAAATGCATGTGTGAGCAAGGCACTGAACACACCGAAACAGGAACAGATTATGATTATACAAGTATGGTACCCTTAACTCCCAGGAACATCTCAAAGATAAGGAATTAGTTCCTGTACCATAAACTAAGCACACAGAACATCTGTGTTGTAATAGTTGTAATAGCTTCTTTCATACTAACAAAGTCAAAAGAGATGGTTTCAGGTCAAATTTTGCCTACGAAATATTTTTCTGGTTTTAGCTCTTCTCAGAGTGCCAAATATAGGGCACTGCAGTCAGAATGATGGCTATTTCTGGAATGATCATCACCAAGATCAGAGCTCCAATCCATACGCTTGCCCTCTTGTGCCCATCCTCTACTTCTCAGATTCTGTTCTGCCCTCTTTCTGGAACCACAACTCTCTTTCTCTGGTCAATTAGCAGCACAGGGTTTCAGAAGTGGGGAGATGTTCCATGGGGTGGAGCACTACTCATTGTCTTCCCAAATTTTTTTGCTGCTTCTCTGTAACAGCATTTTATTTTTCTATTCTGGAATATGAAGTTCTTTTTAAATTATAGTCGACATACAATATTATATTTGTTCCAGGTGGACAACATAGTTTCTATAATAGTGTTTTAATTGAGCAAACTGCCATCCTGCTAGAAGTGTTTCCAGTCTCCTTGTAAGATAGATGTAACCATGTAGTCAAATTTTCACCGAAGGATTGGGGCACCTCCCATGACATTTGCTGAGAAGGAAACTGCTTGTTCTTTGGACTACTCACCAATCCTGTGAGCTGGAATAAGGAAATGATAACAATCCGCTTCAGCCATGCAGACAAAAACATCTTAGTCTAGACAATGGCTTCCTGACATGTATCAGGTGAAATGAAACTGAACTGCCCCTTAGACCAGGGCTTGACAAACTTTTTTTTATAAAGAGTCGATAGTAAATATTTTAGGCTTTGTGGGCCACAAAGCCCCTGTCATTTTTTTTTTTTCTTTTTACAACACTGAAAAAACGTAAAAACTATTCTTAGCTTGTGGGCTATAAAAAAATAGGCCATGAGCTGGATTTGGATTTGGCCTGTGAGCTATAGTTTGCTGATCACTTCTTACCTCTGGACATTTATGAGAGAAAAATAAGACTTGTAGCGTAGAGTCAGGGAAGACTTCTCTAAAGAGATGACTCAAGTAGAGATCTAGATAAAGTAAGGAGTGACTTACGTAACTATCCGGGAAGAGAGCATGGAAGCAGGGAGTTGGAGAGCAAGGACAGAGGTCCTGAGATGGAAATGAGCATGTAATATGGGCCAGTTAGCAATGTGTTGCCTAACTCCATTCTCTGCCCTACTTTATGATACTGGAGCTAGACCTGTAAACATTTCCTCTTTGCCAGCTGGCACAAGTTAGGCTTTGCCAATAAAGGGCACACTGGAGGGATAAAGCAAAGAGGAAGGAGCTTCTCCTGGTTCTGGTAATTTTTCCTTCCTGTTCTTAACAAATGAAGCATCTATCCTCTGGTGAGTTCACTGGCATCTCAACCTGCTTCGACTTGCAGCACCTTGGTGAACTTCACCATCCAGTGGGCCATAGCCAGCACTGTGTTGGTTAATATTTAACAACTAGTTCCAAGAAAAAAAAAAAGCCCTGATTTTTAGCATTCACTGACTTCCATGGTGTGAATATTCTTACCATGACCAATTTTAACACAGGTTTGGGAAAAGATGTGTAAAAGCAGCTGTTACAAGCTGTACAAACCAGCTCTAGCACACCACTGGATAACCACACCTTGTCCAGTGAGCTCTGAATTTCAGTCTTGATTGGGGTTGGCAGGGAGCTCTTCTAAGTTTGCTTCTTCCTTGGGTACTCTCCCTCAGCCCTAGAGGTAGTAGCTGTTCCCCATGCTGCTATTCCTATATTCTTTAAGATCTCATCATTATGCCCGTTAGCAGATAATCCCATTTTGCTAGTTAATAGTTCTGTATATTAAACTTTTCCTGTTCAAATAATTAGTGTGGTTTCTGACTCACAACTAGACATTTGTAGATATGACCCTGTCTGAAGAGGCAGACCAAGATGGATATGAGAAAGGGCCAGGACCAAAGACCCATTCATAGTAATTCTAATATCAAAACCACCACTATCTGAGCAGCTGCTCTGTGCCAGGCCCAGAACTCTAATGAAATAGGCATTTTGGCTATTAAAGCCAAAGGTATCCTAGTTGGCACAGTCATCTTAATAACAGGACATGAAGTGATGATCTGTGGGTGGAACTAGGTAAACAGTTTTCATAAATCAAGTAAGTCACAGGAAAAACCTTAAGGAGCTTATACGTTTTATGGAATCTGGTCCTAAAATTGATTAGACAAAAGTAAAATTCTATCAAGGTGCATCGGGAAGGCTCTTTTCTGGCACGAACCCTCTGATATCTAATAAGCTCTGAACTCCATCTGTAGGTTTGCCACATTCTTTGTATATAACAGGGTTCTCTCCACTGTGAATTCTCAGATGCTGACTTAGATAATGAGCTTTGACTGAAGGCCTTCCCACATTCATTACACTCATAGGGCTTCTCTCAGAGGATGTTGCACAAATGAGTGTGCCACCTGAAGGACTGCCCACATTCATGACGTTTGTAGGGTTTCTCTCTTGTATGAATTCTCTGATGCTAAATAAAGTTTGAGCTCTTGTTGAGAGTTTTCCTACAGTCACTACACTTATAGGGCTTCTTTCCAGAATAAATTCTCTCACGGATTATAAGGTGTAAGTTATAACCGAAGGCTTTACCACGTTCACTACATTCATGGTCTTTCTTTCCTGTGGGAGTTTTCTTATGAGTGACGATCATTCACCTGAAACATTTCCTGTGGGCCAGCGACCACCTCAGTCTCTCCACTTTGAGATTTCTCTGCTGCTGCTCCAAAGTGCCCTCAACATCAGAGGTAGCGTCAAATGTAGTGTGGTGGCTGACGAATGACTACTTGAGATTTATTACTTGTAGGAAAATTACTGTTTGACTATCGCCATAGGAACAAAAGGCTTTTGATCATAGGGACATAACATTCTGATAACAAGCTTTCTGCTTCTGTACTCCCCGCTTGCACACCCCGGCTTATAGGTTGACAGGTAGTGAATAGGAGAAAAATAGACCTTTGTGTTCAGACAGAATGAAGAATGGGATTTGGGGCTTAAAAACCCTGTACCTCTACATTTCAGGGCTGCTTAATTTGGGGTCTGTGTACCCCTGGCAGACCCAGCTGGCTGAATAAAGAGTGTGCTTCCTATAACTCACTAATTTCTGGTGGTCCGTGTGTCTTTCAGGGGCTGGCAGCTACAACAGTAGAGGGGCCAGCGGTGGGTTTTTCTAAGAACATCTATGATTCCACTTCAATAACAGATGATTGTGAGTTCACTGGCATCCCATAATAGCATTTTATTTTTTTACTCTGGAATGTGAAGCCCTTTTTAAATTATAGTTGGCATATAATATTATATTTGTTCCAGGTGTACAATAGTGTCCATATTAGTGTTTTAATTGGGCAAACTGCCATCCTGCTAGGGGTGTTTTTCAGCCTCCTTGTAAGATAGATGTGGCCGTGTAGTCGAATTTTCACCGAAGGATTGGGGCACCTTCCATGACACTCGCTGAGAAGGAGATTGCTTGTTTTGTAGACTATTACTTCACCTATCCTGTGAGCTGGAACATGGATATGGTAATGATCCAGCTTCAGTCATGCAGACAAAAACATCTTAGCCTAGGGGATGGGTGGTTAAGTGACAATGATCCTTTGCCTTTGGACTCTGGGTCATCTTCTGTAACAATTGATGGAAAGTGTAAATATACCTGTTCTGGATGTATGGAGAAATGACACTTGGATTAGGATTTCTGGCATGAAAAGAAAAGTTTAAAAAATATTCAGCAGACACATGAGAAAGTCTGAAAGGATATTTACTTAAAATATGAACAATAGTTATCTCATGGTGATGAGAGTAAGCAGGGGAGAGGCTTTCTTCTTTTCCCTTTCCCCCCTGCTTGTCTGTTTTCTCTAATTTTTCCTTAACAGAACACTGCAAAATGTTTTTAAAAAATAAAATAAGTTTCAGGGGAGGATCTTCTTTTCAAGACTTACTCTTTAAAAATATGAGCGAAAGTAATATTTTCAAGAAATTGGGGAGTGATCACCCGATGTGAGGAAAGGGAAAAGTAAGAAAGAATCATAGGGTTAGGGAAAAGGGATGTTCGTAAAGGTGGACTCTACTCTCCTAATTCTGCAACCTTTACTTCTTCCCACCGACTTCCTGCTCCATAAATCTGCAGCCACCGAAAAGGATCCCCAGTCAGCTCTCTCCTTTATTGAAGGGACAACTGCCAGTTCTGTGTCTACCTCCCTGGTACTCTCTGCCTTTCCCTTTGACTTGTTCCTTAAAAAATGAAGAGAAAGGAAAAAAAGGAAGAAAAGAATGCATCGCCCTTTGTTTTTAAATGTCTGTAACACTTTTTGTGTTTTATCTATAAAGCTCTCTATAGTTTAAAGGAGATCAAAGCAATGCTTTGATAACTCAAGACCACTTGATTAAAAAAAATACAGTTTTTCCACGTTAAAAGCTTCTGGTTAAAAAAAATGTGCAATATGCTTGCTGAAAAAAAAATCTAACAATAATTAGTTAGCTTTTTAATAGTAAAGTACTAAGTTGATTAATAGAGACTTACTAAACAGAATATAGGTGTCAAGACAAAGTCTAGAAGAAAAGCAAGGATGTGCTGGGAGGTAAAATCATACTTTTGAAATAAATTCTAAGATCAATCTCCATTTCTAGTTTTTCCCATTTTGTTGCTAACAAGAATTTGATTTTTCAGATGCTTTTGTTTGGTGGTGGGTTGTGGTATAATACCAAATATTAAATAGAATCTTCTTGATTAGCAACATATTCATGCTATGTTTCCTATGGTTCACAATGTTAGGGGTCAGCAAGAACAGTTTACAGTCCAGAGGCTCTAAATCTAGAGTTTGCTACAGGGAGAGGAAAGGATGCTCATGAGAGTGTATGCAGGCTGGGAAGGAAGTTTTTGCTGTAAATTTGAAGGCTAGAAGGTAAATACTGACATTAGATGGGGTTAAGTGGTAGATAAAGATGTATCTCACATGAGAGTTGCTTTATAGCTTAAAAAGTGTTTTGGGAGGCATGAGAAAGTTAAAAGAAAAATAATCTCAAGGCTAGCCTCTAGCGTAGGGCAGAAGTATTTTGAGTTAGGCATCAAGAACAGAGGAGATGAGGCAGGAAGTGAATGAAATATTTTCTGGCCCTGTTTTAGGGTTTTCTAAAGCTAAGAGATGCTGGTGAAATTTTATAGTCAGATATATCCGTTTTATTTAACCTTCAGAGCTACCTTATGAGGTAGGTTATTATTATTCCTAATTCTACAGGTGATAAAACAGGCTAAGTCTTTTACTTGAGAGGTAAGAATAGCCAACTTTTGAGTACCTACTATATGTCCTTTATACTCCCTCCTCCTCCTCTCCTTCCCCACGGAATCCTGCTCATCATCATTCTCTAGGCAAGGCTGGGTCTCCTGAGATTCACACTTGAGCTGAGTCTCTTTAGGCTGGAACTGGATGCTCAGAGCCTCCTGGGGCTGCTCCCAGAGATGCCTTCTCCTCCCATGGCTCTTCTTATGCAGGTCCATGTGCAGTACCTGGGACCTGAAGGTGATAGGCACCGTTTGGTTTATGTGGGACCAAAGCTTCCAAGGAGACTTCAGAGATCCTTCTCAGAGTCAGAACAGGGGAAAGAAGAAGAGCTAGAGTCTCATTCAGGGTTTAAGGGCAGAAAAGACAAAGATAGAAACTGCTCTACCTGGCCAGAGAGAGGTTTGAACTTGGCAACTCCCCTTACTGCTGCCCCTCTGTCCAGCCTGGAGGTCACTGATCTGGCTCCCACAACAGATCACATGTTCCCCTTCCCACCTGTGGTCTTGGTTCATCAAGTCCTTTCTCTAAATCCTCCAGCATAGTCCTACAGCTTCTTCTCCATTCTTAGGGCGATGTCCCCACATCCGGCATTGGAGCTCCTTAGGCAGGATGATCAGGAATTGTTCCAGCACCAGTAATTCCAGGACCTGTTCCTTGGTGTTCCTCTCAGGCCTCAGCCACTCACAGTAGAGTACCTGTAGTCAGCTCAGAGCCTCCTGGGGACCAGAAGTCAGCTCAGGGCCTCCTGGGGCCTCCTGGTAGCAGAGATGCCTGAAGTGTTGGTGGAAGATCTCTCGACTGAAAGAGTAGTTCCCATGTAGCTTGGTCTTATATTCCTAGGACTGTTCTTTTGGCTCCATCTTCATAATCCCTTGATCTTGTGTACCTTGAAGGGCCAGAATTTTAGCTGCTGTTAGTGGTACAGCCAACCTATCCTGAATTAGCTTCGTAAAAGGCTTATACAAACTGGAGTCTTTCACAGGTATTGGAGACGCAGCCTCCTCCCAGGTGGCCCCTCCACCCTTTCTCAAATTTCTGTAGTGGCCACAGCAAAAGAAAAATGTAAGTTCCCTCTAAGGGGTTAGATCTTATTCAAAAGCCCAGGATCTGCAGCAGAGCCCTGTTACGTGGCTGCTATGAGCAAGACTTGGTGTCCTGTAAGGTGTCAGAAAAATCGAACAAGATGGGACGCACCCAGAGGCTATTAAAGCTCACAACAGCTGTCGTGGGCCAAAGACAAAAGCGTGGAAGATGAACACAGAAGCCTGTCCTCAGGATAAGCCCTGGTAGCACCACCCCCCCCAGCTGAATTTCTACGCACATCCTTGGGCAGGTGCTCTCCCGAAAGTTCTGGGGACCGTTCACTTTTCCCCCGGGATCTCGAGAAAAAAGAGGTACGGCACTGCCGCCTCCAGCCTTCTACACCATGTGACGCAACCAGTGCAGCGCAGGCCCTGGGGACCCAGGGGGAATGTGACTTGGCAGTTTTCAATGATTGATCCCTGCCACTCCGTGCAAACATGCGCAGCTTCGGCCTCGGAGTCTCCTTGCAGGGCTGCCTGCGGGGTGTGAAACCACTTCAGAAATCTCTGCAGAAACCACTTCACCTTTCAGGGCCGGTAACAGCAGCGCGCGCGGGCCAGGAAGAATCCCGGATGGTGGATGGTCGCCGCTGAGACTTCCCCTCTCAGGCCCCGGAGCGTCAGTCTGACAGTTCAGCGCACGTTTCCATCCCACCTTAAATGCAGGTGGTGAGGCTCCACGCAGGGGGATGGGGGGTAGAGGCGGGTAGGGGGCAAGGACACGAGCCCAGAGCCTCGCTCCCACAGGAGGGGCAGGCGGCGAACAATTCGCTGTGCACAGCGACTTTGCGTTGCCAACGCGCCTGGATGCCTCTGGGGATCGCAGTCCCGGGACAGGTGGAGGCGGTACGGCACGAGTGAGTTAGCTGACCAGTTTGGCTGGCTGCGCTTCTCTGATCCATTTGTACTTAAGGGGCTGTCCACACAGACTGAAACCACAAGGAAAGTCCAGCCTGTGCGTGGCCTGTTGCTCGGGCATGTTCTATTTCCCAGTTTCCAGACCTGGTCAGGGGCCACAGCCTAGGGAGTAGTTACCCTCGAGGAGAAAGTATTCCCAACCACCGACTTACCCTTGTCCATTAGTAAATAAAAACCAATTCCTGAGAGAAGAAAAAAGAAATCTAAGGTTTCGGTTTATTGGAGTAGGGGAAATAGGCTTTGCTGATAGAGGAAATTATTGCCTTTTTGTTTTCCGATAATAATAGAGAAATAAGCATTTGATTATTAGTTCTGGAGAAGGTAAGGTAACCATTATGAGAATGGAAAAGTACAGAACATCCAAATTAACACGAGAGAAAAAAGAATGCAGTAGAACTCGGGTAAACCAGCAAAAATAAAAAAGAATCTAGTTGGATCGAAAGAGGAAATCAAAAGCAAAATTACAAACTAGAAGGCAATGAACTCTTCATAGTAAAATCTATGGGACCTAGCAACAGCCATACTTGAAAAAGTAGTCTTAATTACTTCCCTTATTAACAAATACTGATATAAGAGAATTTAAAATTCATCTTAAGAAACTTTAAAAGCATAGGAAAATATGTGCAAAGAAACAAGATAGAGTCAGTAAAGATAAAAATTGTACTGAATGACATGGAAAAATTAAAAATAGAAGAAATAAATTCAAATGCTAATTCTTTTGCAAAGAGCAATAAAGTAGATCGACTTGTGTGGAGCCTGATTTAAAAAAAGAAATAAAAATAAACAAGAATAGGAAGGAGAAATAAAACATAAGTACAGAATCAGAAGAGATTAAAAAAATTAGAGACTATTACATTCAACTTTGGGGTAGTATATTTGAAACCTAGATGAAATGGATTACCTTCTAGCAATATATAAATTATTAAAATTGTGTGCACCAGTTAAATGTTCATAAAGCAACCTTGATTCAAAGGTGGAAGATCCCAAGAAAGTGCTGCAGAGGAATTACATTTAGATGTAACATGAAGCACTTATTTCAGGAAAACAACATTACTAAATGGGAGTCATTAAAATATTTAAGTAGAAACCAGCCACCAAGTTTAATTTGAAATAAATACTTTGCCCTAGCAAAATACAGTTTAACCCGAGTTTTTTTTTTCCTACAACCTATAGTTTATGGTTATAACTAGTGGGGAAAGAAAAGCAAGAAAATTGTACATATTATGCTCTTGTGATGAATAAAGTTTTTGATAAAAAAAATTAGGTAATTATAGAAAGAGGAAAAAAATGGCGTAGATGATCTGGCGACCAAATCAAAGTTGTAACAGAAACAAGGAGCAAACAGCAAGGAAAAATCGCCTGGGATCTAGATGAACAATCCATACAACTATGGAGAAATCTGAGAAATCACCCTGCAATGGCTGAAGGTAGGATGGGGCGAGGATGCGAGGCTACCCGATCCTGAGCAGCTGAGTAGGGCAGAGGCTGAGGCAGTGGCAGACGCCTCTTAAAGGAGCTGTGCCTCCAGTGGACTTTTGTGGCGACGGACCTGCTCGCTCTGAGCACCAGTGCCAATCTGGCTGCATGCAGGGAGCACGAGGACTTACAGGGAGAAATTGTTGGAGTGAGGGCCAAGGCGAGACTCGCTCTGTACAGAAGTGCCAGGGTATCCATTGTTCCATGTTGAGTCCTATCCCTTCCCAGTGCGCTGACACAGCACCGCCATAGTGAGAAGTCATCAAACTGGATAAGAGGTTGCTCTGCCCAGAGGATTTCTGGAAACTCCATCTCCTCCAACTTGTGGTCCCACCTAAGCCATATCCAGCTATATCCTCAGTGAGTCAGGTGCTCCTTGCTGAGCAGCACCTAGACTCACACTGGAGGCAGCTGGCCTTGGTTTCTGGTGTGGCCTTTTGAGGCAACTATAAGCACAGCATCTGTGGGTTGCTTGATGAATCTTAACAGGTGGCCCTGGAGGAGCAGAGGCTTGGGCTAAATTTGGCCTGCAGCTGAACCCCTCTCAGAACTGTGCCACTGTACACCTACTTCACAAATCTTCACTAATAAGACCGGGAGACTTAGGATCTTTGCTTAATACATAGAAACAGACATGGAAAGGCAGCCAAAATGGGAAGACAAAGAACCATATGAGAAAACAGAGATCCAGAAATAATGGAGTCAAGTAATCTAACAGATGCAGAGTTCAAAACACTGGTTATAAAGATGCTCAATGAACTTTTGGGAAGTGTAAATAAATTCAGTGAGAACTTAACAAAGAAATAAAAAGCATGAAAATGGAAACAGAAATTATAAAAGAGAACCAGTCTGAAATGAAGAACACAGTATCTGAGATGAGAAGTATATTAAATAGAATAAACAAAGGAATAAACAAAGTGAATAAAGAAGATCAAATAATCTATCTAGAGGATGAGAAAGCCAAGGATACTCAATCAGAATGGCAAGAAAAAAGAAGCCAAGACTATAAAAATAATTTAAGGAGAATATGGAACACTATGAAAGGTCAAAAATATCCATCTCATTAGTGTACCTGAAGGAAAACAAGATGTTGAACAGCTATTTGAAGAAATAATGATGGAAAACTTTCCTAACATGGTGAAGAAAATGGACATACAATCCCAGGAAGCTCAGAGAACCTCAAAAACCAGGAATCCAAAGAGGCCCACACCAAGACACATCATAATTAAAATGCTAAAGGTTAAATACAAAGAAAGAATCTTAAAAGCAGCAAGAGAAAAGCAGATAGTTACCTACAAGGGAACACCCATAAGACTGGCAGCTGATTTCTCAAAAGAAACTTATACTCAAGGTCGCTAATCATCAGAGAAATGCAAATTAAAACCACAATGAGATATCACCTCACACCTGTCAGAATGGCTATCATCAATAAATCAAAAAACAGCAAGTGTTGGTGAGGATGCGGAGAAAAGAGAACCTTCATACATTGTTGGTGGGACTGCAAATTGGTATAGCCACTATGGAAAACAGTATGGAGGTTCCTCAAAAAATTAAAAATGGGTCTACCTTTTGATGCAGCAATCGCACTTCTGGATATTTATCCAAAGAAAACCAAAACAATAATTCATAAAGATCTATGCACTCCAATATTCATGGCAGCACAACTTACAATAGCCAAGATATGGAAGCAACCTAAATGCCCATCAACAGATGATTGGATAAAGAAATTATGGCTCATATATACAATGGAATATTAGCCATTAAAAAAATGAAATTCTACCATTTGCAACGACATGGATGAACCTAGACTTATTTCACTTATGCTGAATGAAATAAGTCAGACAGAGAAAGATAGATACTAATTTCACTTACATGCAGTATCTAAGGAATAAAAAGAACAAACTAATCGAAAACAGGCTCACAAATATAGTAGAAAATTTGGTGATGGACAGAGGGGAGGGGACTTTAGGGGGCTGGGAGAATGGGGTGAAGGGTTAAAGAAGTACAAATTAGTAGTTGATGGATGGTCACGGGGATGAGGAGCACAGCACAGGGAATGCAGTTAGCTTTAATACTTTGGCTAGGTGGAGGGTCAGGGGAGGGAACAATTGAGGTGATTGTTTTATGAACTATATAGATGTTTAACCAATGTCCTGTATACTTGAAACAAAATAAATAAATTTAAAACAATTAGATAAATATAACCTTGGATGTTCATTCAAGTATTTATTAAAGAAAAATGTGTATGTAAATCTGGGCCTGGGTTGGAGGTGAGAGAATACAAAAACAGTCCTCTGTTCTCAAGAAGCTAAACATCTGGGTAGTTGGGAGTGTGAAGAAAATAAGAGAACATACATAAAAGATTTACAGTATAATGGCTTCCTGTAAGTTGTGAGGTTGGAGAAACAACAGACTTTCGTTTGTCCATTCAGACAAGTCATGTTCAGGGTTTGAATTTTTTTTTTTTTTTTTTACAATGAACAATGTGAAAAGAAAGAGTACCAAGGCATATCCCTTTAAAGAACTGAGTGTGTGCCCGACAGAGCCTGTCAGCCATGTTATCTGAGTTTAAAGGAAAAGCTGATTTTAAGTGTTAGGGACTCTGAATACTACAAGGGGATCAGAAGTGCCTGCGATAGAAAACTGGACCTTAAAGGAATGAGCACAATACAATAGCTGTTTAGGACAGTGAACAGACTAGACCTTGAAATGAGAGTTTCATGAAGTGAGAGACAAATTAGTATGGGATCAGAGGAGAGAGCACATTAAATGCCAAGCCAAGAAGTTTTACTTTAGGTAATGGCAGCCATTGGCTCTTTTTTTCTAATGTGAGTTTACATATGTTTGTGTGTGAGATGATGATAGCAGTGTTTTAAGCAAATCAAATAGTGGTGTATATATGATGGATTAGAACAGTGAACAGTTTCGAGGTGACTAGAACAGCCATGAAAGACCAGGCTCAGAGAAACCTTACTGCACTTTCACTCTCAGGATCTAAGGGGCTGCCAGATCTGACCCACAGATTCTTTATGCTGAGGAAAGTACATGGGGGCAGTCTCTTTGATCACACATCCACAGAAATGGTTGTGGATACCTTTCAGAGGTAATCCAGAAAAACTATTTTACTCAAGATTCTAATCAGACTCCAGAGACAGAGAAACCAGTCTATTCCTTCCAAACTTGCCCTCTGCTGTTTACCATAAGGCTTAACTTAAGCCCAAACATACAAGACATGGTCATAGTGTCACATCCTTTACCAGAAGTCGACTTCAAGGGTAGAGAGAAAGTTCCTCTAAATCTTTATTTCATCAGAGATTCTGAAGCTGGAAAAAGAAATAAATTGCACTCTAGCTCGAGCCAAGACATCAACATATTTACCTGCTCTATTTTCATCATCCTCAACTACTACATTCAAACACATCCTGCTTCAGGAAAGAAATGGTTTGGAAGGAGCTAGTTAATGAGTAGATTTAGTAACCAATGCCACTAGTGTTCTTGGTAAAAGTAGACTGGGTAGCGTGTTGGGAGAGGGACCTTAATGGGTTGAAGGAGATAAAGAATTGGAGACGACTCTTTAGATTAAAAAATTGGCTATGAAGGGAGATGACATAGGGGAAAAGTGGGGTCAAGGGAGGTGGGGTTGAACTTTGTTTTTTTTAGGATGGAAGACCTTGAACATATTTTTATACATTTGGGAAGGGGCAGTAGAGAAGACAGTCAAAGATACAGGAAAGAGACAGGGTAAGAGGATAGAGTGAGGTCCCAGAGGGAGGGGGATAGGAAACACAGATAGAAAAGTGAGTCCTAGATATGAGAAAAGGCAGCTCTTCAATTGAGAAGGGAGCAAAGATTGAGGTAGATACATGTGTATTAAAGATGCCTGAGGGATGAGGATGGGAACAGTAAGTAGACAATGTTTCTGTGTGAAGGTCTCTAATTCTCTGTGAAATAAGACATCAGGTGCTAAGAGAGGTTGGTGAGTGGGTGGTTAGATGTGTAAGGAGAGAGGAAGGTATTAAGTAATTATTATAGACAACAGGAGAGGATGGTGACTAGGGATTGGATTAGTGTTGAGTGCCCAAAGGTGTAGTCTTTCTAGGTGTGTGATTTTCCTCCTTGACCCAGGTGCAGGATCAGCAAAAGAGGACCAATAGGACTGTCCATGGTGGGGTTTTGTTCTGACTAGGTACATGGGACTGAAGGATAATAAGGCAAAAAGGTAAATGAGGCAAAGGGGATATTGGTAAAAGAGTGGCTGAAATATTAGACAATGGTATCTAATCGAGAAAGGTAAAACCCAGGGAGGGATAGATGATAGAATATAGTAGAAAGGTCACTGAACTGGAGAGCCCGATGAGTTATAAGAATAGAAAAAGTAAACCATACAACAGTACCTTGGCTCCTTTGAAATAATTCAGATGGTCCAAAGAACCTTTCCCAACACACCAAAATTTGCCTTCTGATATGAAAAAGTTAAGACTTCCTCATTCTCTGATTATTACTTTCTGAAAACCAGTTAAGCAACCTGCAAGAATTAAAGTTCTCTCATTATCATATTTGCAGGGTATTTATTGATCTGATCTCTGAATACTTTCATAAAACAGCTTACTCCTAGCCTCTCCAAGAAAAATCTTAATTCAACTCTGTAGTACTATAGTAACATTTTCCACTAACTACTAAATTTGTTTCTCTAAGATATATCATCCTACAGAAAGACAAATACTGCATGCTTCCATTTATATATGGTATCTAAATAGTCAAACTTGCAGAAGCAGAGAGTAGAATGGTGTTGTCAAGGGCTGTGGGGTGAAATAGGGAGTTGTTAGATGGGTATAGTTTGTTATGGAAAATGAATAAATTCTAGAGATCTGCTGTATGACATCGTGCCCATAGTTAAGAATACTGTATTACACTTAAAATTTTTGTTGAGGGGTAAATCTTATGTTAAGTGTTCTTACCACACACACACACACACAAAGACATATCATTGAAAATTTGTACAAATTCCTCCCCAGTCTCCCCAATCTCTGCATTTACTTACACTAGGCCAAGACCCTTCTGACTTCAAGTAGGATCAGAAATGTAGACTCATAACATCTTCCAGAAGGCTTTAGCAGGTGGAACATGTTTTCCCCTTTCCTTCAAAATGCCTTAGACAATTACTGCCCACAGGAACTACTGCTAAAAATAGCTATCATTTGTATATCTAGAGTTATGCTAGGTGCTTAACAAAATTGTCTCCTTTAATCTTCACAATAGCCCCACAGGGGAGGTATCATTATGTTGAATTTGCAAATGAGAAAACCAAGAATCAGAAACACAAAAATTTTTGCCTAAGATCACAGAGATTAAAAGAGACAGAACCAGGATTTCAGTATGTCAGACTCCAAAGTGCCATTATACTTTCAAATCCTATGAGTCACAACTTCTCCCTTTACATGAAAGAAGACTCACCATCCACTTCCTTTTCTTAATCAAATCAGCTGCTTCTGTATTTAAAGATTCACCATCCACTTCTTTTTCTTAATTAAATCAGTTGCTTCTGTATTTTTCTTAATTAAATCAGTTGCTTCTGTATTTAATTTTGCTAGGAATGAAGGAACAAGCTCAAACTCCCTAATCTATACAGTGACATTTATTCTCATTTAAAACTTCAGGATCATTTGCAGATGTTTGGATTAGACTCTGTCCCGGGAAGGACCATCTACCCTAGAGTTCAGGATATCATACTCATCTTACATTCCCCTGGTACAGTTTATATTATAGAGAAAAAGACAAGGAAAAGCAATTAGATTTGTAGTGCTGCTGAATAGCACATGCAAAGGCACCATTTTGTGATGATGTATATGCTCTATATTCAAGTTTCTCCATTGGCGAGATTTTCCTGTGGCGTGGAATCTCTGATGATAAAGGAAGGAGTGAAAGTGTAATTAAAGGCTTATCTTGTCAAGTTTTCTGATTTACCACATGGGAAACATTTAGGAAGGACATATCTATACATGACCTGAGGTTAAGTACTCTAAACTGAATCAAATGAAAATTGCTCTTTGGAAACTTAGAATTTTCCAAATAGTTATAATGGCTAAAGGTAGACATAACAGTATTTAAAAAACAAACATACATATAAATAAATGGATATATTTATCATTGCTGTGTTCCTAGGGTTATGATCCTGTGGTTTCTCTGATACTGTGTAAGATCTGAGCTCTGACTGAAAGCTTTTCCACACTCATTCATAAATTTTCTCACTAGTATGAATTTTCTGATGCCTAACAAGGTCTGAGCTCTATTTGAAGGCTTTCCCGCATTCATTACATTCATAGGGCTTTCCTCCACTATAAATTCTATGATGCCGACTAAGGTCTGAGCTCTGATTAAAAGTCTTGCAACTTTCATTGCATTCATAAGGTTTCTTTCCACTGTGAATTCTTTGATGCTGAATGAGTTGTGAGCTCCCCCTAAAGGCTTTCCCACAGTCACTGCATTTATAAAACCTTTCCCCTGTATGGATTCTTCGATGTTCTATAAGGACTGAGTTCCTACTGAAGGCCTTTCTACATTCACTGCATTCATAAGGTTTTTCTCTAGTTCGAATTATTTGATGTCTCATAAGATCTGAGCTACCTCGGAAGATTTGTCTGCATTCATTACATTCATAAAGTTTCTTTTCCTTATGAATTCTCTGCTGTCCATTAAGTTTTGTATCTAAACCGAAGGCTTTCTCATATTCAAGTTTCTCTCCAATATGAAGTCTTTTATGTTTAAGAAAAACTGAGTACCCACTGAAGGTTTTCCCACATTTGGGGCATTCATAGTTTTCCCCCACTATGGATTCTTCAGTGCTGAATAAGGAACTCTGCCTGAAGGCTTTCCCACAGTCACTGCATTCCTAGGGTTTCTCCCCAGTATGAATTCTCTGGTGGGTAACAAAATGTGAGTTCTGACTAAATGCTTTCCCATAGTCATTACATTCATAAGGTTTCTCTCCACTGTGAATTCTGTGATGTATAAGATCTGAGCTTAGATTGAAGGCCTTCTCATATTTATTACATATATATGGATTCCCTCCACTATGGATTCTCTGGTGCAAGATAAGGTTTGAGTTCCCCTTGAAAATCTTTCCACACTTATTACATTCATAGGAAGTTTCTGCTGTATAAATTCACCGATGTTGAATGAGACTGGAGCTCTGACTGAAATCTTTCCCATAGTCACCACAAATATAAGGTTTCCTTCCTGTGTGAATTTTTTATGTATATCTAGGTATGAACTCCTACTGAAAATATTTCCACATTCGTTACACTTATCGGTTCTTTTTATGATATAGGTTTTCTCATGCTGAGTAGTCCTGACTTCTGTCTGAAGCTCTGGCCACATGCCTTGTACCTATCGGTTCTTTCCTCTGCAGGAACTCTCTGATGTATAACAAGTGGGCTCAGATTACAAATTCTCACTTTCTTATTACATTCGAGTTTTCCTTCACCTATAAGGGTTTTCTTTTTTTCTTTTTCTTTTTTTTTTTATGCTTACAGCACCTGCTATTCCCATCCAAGTACTAACCAGGCCCGACTCTGCTTAGCTTCTGAGATTAGACGAGATTGGGCACATTCAGGGTGGCATGGCTGTAGACTATAAGGGTTTTCTTAAGGGAAAGGCTCACTTGGCTGAACTCCCTATCCTCAAAAGGGGATTGTAGCAGTCCAGCCTCTGATGAATTTACCCGTTGCCTCTCCAAGCTGTTCTCACATTCACTGGGTCCTAAGAGTTTAAATCCATTAGGTATTTGTATTGAGTGTTCTGATTCTATTTCTTCAGAAATTTCCTGATTTAGCTTCCATTCTTTCTTCTCAGTTTTCTTTTCATTATCTGAAACATCAAGTAAAAGTATAAATGGTTACCTTCTCATACGAGGAGAAAAATTCTTAGAAGGAAAGGCAAATGATCAAAGTAAAACATTTCTATGAATGGTTGAGATTCTAAATTCTCAAAAATAGTTTTATAATCTGGGAAAGAGATAGGCTTCTGAACCTAACTTTGGTCTCTATGGTCTATAAAAGTAGTTCTCAAATTTGGCTGATCATCAAAAACACATGAGAGAGCTACTGAATCAGAATTTGAGTCTATTTCATTCTTCTCTTTGCAGACTCTCTTTCTCCTTTATTACCTTAGCTTCTAGATCTAAAAATTTCCTTTATTTGAAAGACTGGCCCTGGATAAACTAGAATTTCTTAATTCTAAAGTTGTAGAAAAGAGAACCAGTTGTCCTAATTTAGGGCAAGTGTCAACTTCTACTCTAATCGATGGAGTCAGGGGAGAGAGTGGGACTATGGGGGGATCACAAAGGATAAATTTGGGTGCTGGGAGCCCACCTCTGTAGGTAAGGACAGTTATGTGGGTCATGGTGTGCAGCCTAGATACTTCAAAAGTTGTTTATGACATAATTTTTGCCTGAGAGATGAGACCTTTAGTTACAGTTTCATCTTCTTGGACATTTAGTGGATATACTCAATGGCAAGTAAGTTTTATCTCAAGTATCAACTATGAAGAATTGAAAAGCAGCGGCCTTAAAGTAACACTTTAAGTGCTGATGCTATCTCTGGGCTCAATTAGAACAAAGTACTTTGATGGATTACTTAAATCTACCATGGATGTGAGGAGGAGTACACAAAGTACTGGAGGTAAAAGAAGGATAGGTTGGGCTTGCCATGTAATTATTATCCTTACATAGGAACAAAGTAAAGATGCCAATAGAACTTGGAATAGATTACTCTTTAATAATAAACCAGCAAGTATCAACACATAATGGCTGAAATTATTCACATGTAAAAATCACATGTAAAAATAACTGAAAGAGATCAGGAGATCTTGGAATCCCTAAGTCCAATCAAGGTTACCAGGACCTGATCTCAGAGGAGTATGAGTGGAGTAGGATTATAATTAAGACGGGAGAACCCAGCATATTGTATTAAACTGCTTTTGAAGAAATAGTAGGTTATCGTCTAGAAAAGATGGAGTCAGAGAGTAAAAATATGCCTATGCCTCCAGCACCAATTCAGGGGAGGGTGCTCACTCCAGCTGATGAAGGTATTCTGCCCAGGAGCAGGGAGATATACCAAGTGATCAGAGCTGAATGACAATTGCATTAATATTGCCTAGTTTACACCTCTGCTTTGCTTCCATGCCCACTAAGCAAACTACTGATTAGAATTTAGCTTTCTCTATAGATTTTCCTAGAGAGACAATGTATTGACAGCCCACTCAATTTCTGATCAAGCAGTTCTATTTTTCCCTGGTTTTTACATCACTCTTCTGATTCAGATAGTATTAAGTCAATTTCCCTGGCTTGAACAATTCCGGATAGGTACACTAACAAAATAAAACTTCTGGACCTGGAAAGTAGAGGAATAGACCCTGAAACCTGGTGATCAGAGTTATAAGGCCCAGCTAAAGAGCCAACTGGCGTTTTGGGGTAAAATCTATATCTCATCACCAAGTGAAATAGTGAATATTTTCTTTTGGAAATATTTTCTTTTGGATTATTTCTAAATTAACAATTGTGAAAGTGGCATACTTTTCTAATATTTTTGTCTCTGATAATGCCCTGCCCCAAGCTCTTAATTTTACATTACTCTTGAATATTCCCCTACAGTACTGGTGTCCCCTAAAATGCATGTCTACCTGGAATGTGTGAATGTGACCTTACTTGGAAATAGGGTCTTTGCAGATGTAATCAAGTTAAAATGAGGTCATTAGGGTGAACCCTAAATCCACTATGACTGGTGTCATTATAAGAAGGAAAATTGACACAGAGACATGTAAGTAAGACGGCCATATGAAGATGGAGGCAGAGGGTGGAGTTATGCTGCCACAGCCAAGGGACCCCTGGGGTTATAGAAAGCTGGAAGAAGAAAGGATCCTCTCCTAGAGGGTTCAGAGGGAGCATGGCCCTGCCAACACTTGGATTTGAGACTTGTAGCCTCCATAACTGTAAGGGAATACATTTCTGTTGTTTTAAGCCACCTAGTTAGTGGTAATTTGTTTTAGCAGCCCTGAGAAACTAATACACTTACTATGAAGTCCAATTTTTCAGAAAAAAAAAAGTCTTTCCATTCCTCCCATTTCCACTGACACTATGCTTGTGGCTTTCTGTATTTCACTAGGTTATCATCAGGGAGTGGAGCACAGTGGTTAAGAACATGGACTCTGGATAGAGCCTGCCTGGGTCTGCATCTATCATTTACTTGCTGTGTGACCTTTAGTTACTAAACCTTTCTGTGCCTCAGTTTCCTCATCTGTACAAATGTGGACAGTAATAGTACTTAGAGAGGCTTTGTATTAAATGAGTTAATACACGTAAAGTGCTTAGAATAACACCTAGCACAGAGTTGGCACTTAACAAATAATAGATATTTAAAATTTTATTACTTTGTTAATAATCTTATCACCAAGATTTTCCTGCTCCAGTTCAGACTGAATAGTGCTGTTAGTTATATATCACTTTCATCATGTTAATTGCTATTAAAAACTTTTAGATCTCTGTATTTTTTACTGTATCAAATCTAACTTTCTTTTATTTGACTTATAATCTGGTCCCAACATAGTTTTCTGATATTATTTTCCTTTACTCATTAAAGGCAGGGGTGTTGTTCAGTTTTGTAGCCCAGTGCCTAGAACAGTATTTGGTATATTTCATTCACTCAGTCATTACCTATTCAATGAATGAACACATCCCAATTCACAACTGCTGCCAAGTCCACCTCTGCCTTCCAAGTCCAGATCAGGTTCTACCTCCTTTAGAAGGTCTTTCTGAGAAAGTGGTTAAGAACAGACTCTGGAACCAGACTTAGTCCAAATTCTGGCTCTGTCACTCCCTAATTGTGAGACTTCACATGTGTTTCTTAATTTCTCTATATCTCTTCTATTTCATAGGGTTTCCACCTTTGTAGGGTTTTTACCTGCGCTAATTAAATATTGGGTAGGGGGGAGGAAGTACAAAAAATATGAGACACAAAATTTAACTTTTAGTAATACACTTATCATTTTTTCCAAGCTCAAGATCATTGGACCATTTTTTCCTCTTTTATTTTCAACTGTTCTTAAAATATCTCTCTTATCTGTTTTTCCTTTCAACTCTCACATTATAAATCAGGAATTTATCATTCTCTATTTGGACTATTTCAACAGTTTCAAAACTGTCCTGTTTCCTGCCCTCCTCTAATTTTATCTACCTGTCTTACTTTTTCTGTATTAACACATATTTTATCAGTCTCCCTTCAAAGTGAAAACATTCTCGATTCTGAAAGCAGTCCAAGATCTAGGCCTCCAACTGTAACAACTGACAACTTCTTTATCACAGCAGATTTTAGATTAGTACTAGAGTTAGCACCATATCAGGATGTCTCATCTTATTTGTCAGAGGCATTTTGGGGGGGTAGGGAGAAACGAGGACTTGGGCCATGAGCCTGTGCCTTTTTAGTTATTTCAAAACAGGAAACAGAAGCAGTTCTGTATCCCAGAGGATGTCTGTTGCCAGCTCAAAATCCAAGAAGCCACCACCCTGACACTCATCCAACCTAGAAGAAACTTCATTGTGCAAAGGTCAAAAGGTCCCCGTAAATACCTTTTGAGTCACTGAAAAAGCTCCTTACCCAGCAAGTCCTGGTCCCTTTCACTCCCTTGCACTCAGTCCCGGCCGAGATCGTCCTGTGCATGGCCTGGTAGTGTGCAGTACCCAGCCGCCTGCCACAGCATCTCTGTGCACAGAACTAACAGTTCTGGAGGCGCTGGCTAGGAAAGGCTATCCTGCCGCCGGGAGGGCCCCAAAGCTGCGGGCTGGGTCGGCGAGTGGGAACCCAAAGGATGGAATCTGGCTGGCCCTGGGCCCTAGCGGCTGGCCCAGACAAGCAGAGCCAGAAGACCAAGGCCAGCAGGCCAGCTCTGCATGCACGGACACTGAGAGATCTCGTCGCCAGGCCGCCCTCAGTTCTCCCGTCACTTATCGTTTCCACCGGGGCAGCGGCTATTATCCTCACTACGACCTGTCCCGCAAGCCAAGGCTCGTGGGAAAAGCTCACTGCCAGGACCTCCAGGCCTCGCCCACCGCCTCCCAGGTTAACGCGCGGAACATCCAGAGTCGAGTCCTGCGGTTTTTCTAGACCAGCCCGGAAGGGGGCCACACTTCCACCCACGTGAGTCCTAGTCTGTCCTGGTGTCTGAGTGTCTTCTATTGGAGCCACTGAGCTTGCAAAGACGAGAAAGACCAAGGAAGGGCTCAGTCTAGTGTGGCGACAGGTAAATCATGACTGTGCTACGATGGCTGTGGCCTGTGGGGAGCACAGTGTAAACATTTAACAGCACTGGGTGTCCATCAGTGAAGATGACAATAGTAAATGAGGCGAACGTGAAGGAATTGGGAGACAATATTGTAGCGCCTAAGGAAATGGGCTTTGGAGTCAGGTAGGCCTGGATTTGAACTACAATTTCTTCATGTACTAGTTTGGGGTCTCTGGGAAAATTGCCATCTTGCCTTTAGATCTCTGTTTAGAAAATGTGGATAACAGCAGTGCTCACCAATTACAACCGAGGCAAAGAATACAAGAGAAAATTGGTGTTAGGTCCTTATCACAGTACCTAACACATTGGAAATACTAAAAAAATGCCAGTAGGTATGGAGGGAGGGGACATTCCTGGAAAAGAGAAAAGCTTATGGAAAGGCCATAGGGTAAGAGGGCACTGCCTAGGTTCTTGGGGAACTACAGATTGGTTCAGAGGTAAATGTTGGATTTAGAAAGGTAAGCATTTTGCTGAAAGCCCTCTCCAATTAAACTCCACACTGCAGTCTTATGCCTCTCCTTTGTGGCACTTATCGTCGTCGTAATTTTACTTATGATTCTAATCTCACTTCTGCTCCACCAGGGCAGAGGCTGTTGTCTATTTCTGCTCACCCCTCTTGGTACCCGCCAGTGCCTGACCCATATTTGAAGCTCAGTATTTGCTGAATGAGTTGATGAATGGGGCCAAATCAGAACACATGTGCCACTCTGAGGACTAGGCTTCAGGCCCAGGTTTGTAGGAAATCACCACAGAAGTTTAGAGATGGGTGGCAATATCAGATTTGTTCTAAAGAAAGAACATTCAGGCTGCTCTGTAGAGAAATGGAAATAAGAGTTATGGTAATAATACCAAGCAAGAGATGAGGATGGTGGCCTCACTCTAAGTAAGTGCATCCAAAATTAAGAAAAGCGGACTAAATTGGCAGATTATTAGGTAACATTTCCTTCCTCTACTCACATGCTCACATGCTCTCCCCGCAAGGTAGTAATAATAGTCTTGTTTCCTATGAAATATCTATATGGAGAAACCTCTCTTAATCCACATTCCAATTACCCCTGTTCCTCAAAGAGATCTGATAATTTCTCAGCTTTGGTTCTGCTGGAGTTTAGAAATTTAGCTGCTTAGATTCTCATGAAGGCCAACTTTTAACCTTTAGGCTCTTTTCTCAAAGTTCCAATGCAGGCTGCTCCCTAACAGTGGATATTATTCTGTGAATTCAGGTTTACAAAGTGGACATTGCTACATTAATGGATACTTCTACCCATTAAAGCTTTGAATCAACCTTCATTTCATAAATTGTCAGTTAACTGAAAATTAACTCATTTGTTCTCCCTCAGCCTCTCCTTGGATTATAAAGCTTCTGGAAGAACAAATGTCTTTCTCTAGCACTATCAAATTATGGCCCCTGGCACATAGAAGGCACTTAATAAGCATCTCTTGCACAACTTTTATTCCAACATTCACAGTTGAAAGCATTTCCATACTGTAACAAAAACTACCCCCTGCTTTCAATGGTCCGATACATCCACTATATGTAAGCACTATCAGGGATGAAATGAAAAGGTTAGTTTTCAATTTGAGGTCTTCAAGCAATAGTTGATATTTTAAAAAGTCAAAGCAAATTATATACCTGCTTACAGAAGAGATAAAAAAGACTAATGAAAATGTTAAGTGATTTGATTTGGGCTGGAATTTTAATACCTAGGTCTGGTTATGTCATGCTAATCAGATGCATGATTGGTGGTTATACTCCATGCATTTGAATAACAAAAAATAGATGTAATTATTCTTTAATAATTACAGTGTGATAAATAAAACCTTTTAAAAAACAGATACAGAAAAGTAAAAAAGAGAGCCTTGATGTTTAGAAAGTTGCAAACCACTGCATTAAATTATCTGAGTTTCCTTCAATATCCTGCTTATCCTTATAAACTTCATTCTCACTGTATAACTGTAAAGACAGGTAAAGGACATGGAGATGGGCTTATGAAAATAAAGTCCCAAATCCTTTCTTTTACAAAAATAGAATGGCAAAATGTTCCAGTTGGCTATAATGGCTTCGACTAATTAGAATTTGGGATAACTAAAAAAACTTAAGTATCTTTAATTTTTATCCAAGTAAATCATTGGTGATAGCTATTTTTCATTCCTTTTGCTTCCCAAATATATTTAAAGATATTCTCATGTACAAAGATTATTTGTTTCTGTGAGATTATTAAAGAGCTTAAAACTTTGAGGCAGTGATGGGGGTTGGCAGGCTTCTGTATCACATCATCCACAAGCAGCCAGCTTTCAGGGATGGTGTAGACGGGCTTCTCCACTTTAAGACATCCCACTGTTGTTCAGGATGTCCCTCCGGGGAAGCCACAGCCTCCAATGCTTTGAACATTAACAGGTCATATTCTTTACATCAGCCACAAGACAGCACTGTATCTAATATATCTTATAATTTGCTTGTAAATACTTTATCTTGTTTTAAAATGATTAGAGCTGCAGATGCCCTATGTGTCAACAATAAATTTGTTTTCTCATTTAAACCTCAAAATTACCCCACAAGGTAGATTATTTTATCACCATTTTAATGAGGAAAATAAAGACCAGAGGGATTATATAATTTGCTGCAGTCCTGAAGCCAATACATCATACTGGGATTCAAACCCATATCTCTTCTCCCTCCACTATAGAATATTGCCTCTCTTGAAACAGTCAAACTAAAGGTTTCTATCAGAATCTGGATTCCCATGCAGATGAACTGCCACTGCCCACATCACACTGAAATTCTTGCTTAAATGGCCCCAGGGCAGGATTTCTCAACCATGGCACTACTGACATTTGGGGTGAGATAATTTTTTGGTGTGTGTGTGTGTGTGTGTGTGTGTGTGTGTGTGTGTGTGTCGGGGGTGGGGGGCTGTGTAAGATATTTAACAACATCCCTCGTTGTCAAATGTCAATATTTTCTTCCTAGTTGTGACAACCAAAATATCTCTGTCCCCTGGGGGAAAAATCACCCCGCTAAGAACCATTGTTCCCCTCCATGCATCTCACAAGCTATTCCCACTAAAGAAAGATATGAGGTTGAATTTTGCCCTGTCTTACATGGTCTTTTTCGGTAAACTTCTTATCTGATGACTCATTAGGCAATCTGTCAGTAATTCAGAATACCAGAAATAGCTGACAATTGAGTTTGATTGCACAGATAGGCAGGACATATTAAATTAGTTATCAGCTTAAATAATGATTGACCTTTCTCCAGAGTTCTATTTAGACTCTTCAATTCTCAAATAAGCTGTGCCCAATTACAAAGCCCTGGTTCAAGACAAAAATCACTCTCCCTACAACCATCTGACCTTTCACAGTAGATGCTTTCCAATTCCCACGAACTCATGTCACCTGAATGCTCTGCCCTGGCACTCAGTCTAATCCTATTTTCCAAACCTGTTCTTCTGTCTCTTGATTTTACTTTTCCTGAAATTAAAGTAGTCACTACTCTTTCTCTTGAGAAATTCCCCACTTGGTTTTTGGGTCCTGGCCTTCAGTTACCTGCTGTCAAGTCATTTCTATTATTTTTTGTTTCCTCTCAATTAGTGGGTCATTCTCATTAGCATTTTCACATATGCATAAGTATATTTTTATAAGGAAGAAAAGAAGGGAACATGTGTAAAACATATACCTAGTGTAAAGAATTCATCCCAAAGGAAGATTTAATCACCCTAAATGACTTAAAGCAGATTTATACTTGTCATCGGACTAGGTAGTCAAGATCGAAATGGCTCCTTCCATGAATTTAGTTTTGGGGTTGCTGCCAAAAGTGCTTTCTAATGATTTTAATAACAATAGAAATCATCTAAAACATTCTCAAATAATTATATACTGAGGACCATACTCAAGTGTCGACTCTGAGGCAGAAAAAAGGTAATATGCCCAAGAGCTTTTTCACCTGATTACACTTATATGTTTTCCATCCAGTAGAGCTCTTCTAATGTTTTCTACCTTCAAATGGATTTCAATAATAAAAATCCTCTATAGTGCAAAAAGATGTGGTCTCCACCAGGCTTTTCTTACATTCATTAGGTTTCTATTACCTATTAGAATAAGTCCTGTTTGAAGACTCTCTCACATTCCCCAAGTTCCTTTCCAGTATGAAGTTTCTGATGTTTAAGAAAAGCTGTGCGCCCACGGAAGGCCTTCCCACAGTCGCTACATACAAAGGGTTTCTCTCCAGTGTGAATTCTCTGGTGACTAATAAGGTGTGAGTTCTGACTGAAGGCCTTTGCACATTCAAGACATTCATAAGGTTTCTCTCCAGTATGAACACGACGGTGTTTAATAAGATCTGAGCTGCCCCTAAAAGATTTCTCACATTTATTGCACACATAAGGTTTTTCTCCACTATGAATTCTATGATGTTTCATAAGGTCTGAGCTCTGATTGAAAGTTTTCCCACATTCTTTACATTCATACGGTTTCTCTCCCATATGAGTTACCTGATGTCTGATGAGGTCTGAGATGCCTCGGAATGTTCTACCACACTGATAAGTTTTCTCTTCTTGATGAATTCTCTGCTCTTTTCTAAACAACTCATTCTTGCTGAATGTTTTCTCACATTCTTCAAGTTTCTCTCCAGCATGAAGTCTCTGATGTTTGAGAAAAGTTGTGCGCCAGATGAAGGATTTTCCACATTCTTTACATTCATAGGGTTTCTCACCACTATGGATTCTCTGATGTTGAGTGAGAAGTGAACGCTGCCGGAAGGCTTTCCCACATTCATTGCACTGATAGGGTTTCTCTCCAGTATGAATTTTCTGATGTGTAACAAGGTGTGACTTCTGGCTAAAGGCTTTCCCACATTGACTACATTCATAAGGTTTCTCTCCAGTATGAATTATCCAATGCCGAATTAGATCTGAACTTCTCCGGAAAGTTTTTCCACATTCAGTACATTCATAAGGTTTTTCTTCTCTATGAATTCTCTGTTGTTTAATAAAGTCCAAGTCAGAAGTGCAGGCTTTTTCACATTCAAGTTTCTTTTCAGTATGCAGCCTCTGATGTTCAAGAAAAGATGTGTGCTCATTGAAGGATTTCCCACATTCACCATGGAGTCTCTTGTGTTTGGTAAGATATGAACGCTGCCGAAAGGCTTTTTCACATTCATTACACTTGAAGGGTTTCTCTCCAGTATGAATTCGCTGATGTGTGATAAGGTGTGAACTTTGACTGAAGGTTTGCCCACAGTCGTAACATTCATAGGGTTTCTCTCCCGTGTGAATTCTGTGATGTGTTATAAGATCTGAACTTTGATTGAAGGTCTTCCCACATTCATTACATATATATGGCTTCCCTCCACTATGGATTCTCTGGTGTAGGACAAGGTTCGAGCTTCCCTTGAAGGTCTTCCCACACTCTTTACATTCATAGGGATTCTCGCTGCTATGAATTCTCTTATGTCTAACCAGATTAGAGCTCTGATTGAAGTCTTTCCCACATTCATGACATATATAAGGTTTCTTTCCCGTATGAATTCTCTGATGTGTAATAAGATTTGAACTTTGATTAAAGTCTTTCCCACATTCATTACATACATATGGTTTCTTTCCTGTATGAAGTCTTTGATGTATAATCAGGTTTGAGCTACGACTGAAAATTTTTCCACATTCTTTACATTCATAAGTTTTCTTGATATTATTAATTTTCTGATGTTCAGTTATTTCTGATTTCTGTCTGAAGTTCTGGCCACAGACCTCATAATGGTGAGATCTTTTTCCAGCAGAAAGTATTTTTTCTCCACCATTATATCCATGGTCTCTCTCTCCTGCAATGGTTTTCTTAGGGATGAGATTCAATTCCCTGATACCTCTCTCTTGGGAAGAAGGTTGTCTTATTGCATTCTCTAAGGGACTTACCCAATGCCTCAATAACCTGTCCTCAGGATCACTGGTTTCAATTAACCCACATTTCTGGGAGATCTGTCTTTGGCATCTTCCTGATATAGCCCTTGCTGAATCTTTATCTCCAGAAATTTCCATCTTTGACTTCCAGTACTTCATCTTATTCCTGGTCTCAGAATCTGAAATGATAAGTAGACCCATTCTATAATTCCTAAAATACAAATATTACCTCTCCCTATGCTGGAAAGTCTAAGAGAAAACAAAGAACTAAAGGAGGACTATTCCCTGCCGGGGCTGAGATTCAGACAATTTTCAAGAGATTGTGGCTACCACAGGAACACACACCCTATTGGTGGAGCTGGTGTGTGGGAGTGGCCTGTAGGGTGGTGGAAAAATTCACAGGAGGAGGTGGCCAGTCTGGAGCTAGTCCACAGGAAGTGGCCTGTTTGATAGTGTAGGAACTTGCTGGACTCTGTGTGTAATAAAAAAGCACCAGAAAGAGAAGTTCCTGCCTTTTTCTGTGGCCTTGTATTGTCCCTTCAGCATCCTCTATTAACAAAATTTAAATCTTGTGCCAGCTGGCAAAGGAGAAACAGTCCAGATCCAGTAACACAAGCAAAGCAAAAAAGGGTAGATTTGGAGTTGAGAGGCAATAAATTAATAACTGGCACACTACTCATTCTTCCAAATATACCATGACAGTTAAATCTGAATCTACACCTCAGAATAAAAATGCTTGATTGTCATTTTAATAGAAATCAATTCTCCCTTTCTCAGTCCTGGCATTTTTCTTTCTGATCTTCTGGTGGAATTGCATCCTTTTGTATGGCAATTGTGTATCCTTCTGCAATTGGAAGTTTTTGGATTTCTAGATCATCAAATCCCTGACCTCCTCAGTCACAAAAACGCACTTGTGAGCTCCCTGAGAGAGCCATTTCACCTTGGCCTTGGTGATGCGAACTCTCTAGTCATTAATCTTTTTGCAGTGAATAAGAGGCAACACAATATAGTGATTAACAGCACAGACACTTTAATGGACAGTAGGACCAACTGCCTGGGTTTGAATCCTGGCTCCATCACTTACTGTGTGAAAGTCACTGGAATTCTTTGTGCCTCAGTTTCCTCACTTGAAAATGAAAATAATACTATTTACCTCATAGAGTTGTTATGAGAATTAAATATATGTAAATATATGTAAAACATTTAGAACACTGCTTGGTATATAAAAAGCATTATATTAAGTGACAGCTGCTGTTATTATTGCTATTATTATTATTTTATTATTAATTTTTATCCTTTAAGTCCAAAAATTATCACTAAGTAATGTGTCCCTAGCACAAACCTCCATATCCAGTCTGGATTTCATTTAAATAACATTCAAATAAAATACTGGAAAGAATTGGCTTTGTCATAATTTTCTCTTAAAGTGATTTTTTTTGGTTTGATATATATCCTTCAAAATTCAGAAAGAGACTAAAAGATGATAAAGGTATTTCTCAAAACCCATTGAAAACAAAAGAATAACAAATGAGGTGAACTCCATCTTAAAGAAGAGGGCCATAGAAGATATTTCCCAAAGGCTATTTCTGAATGTCATATTCATTGATCTTCTGATTAGAGTGAAGAGATCTAGAGCATGGTGGGAGGGGTGTCATGGAGAAAGTAAAGATTGTCCCTGTAGAGATCTAGTTTGACATTATCAGAGTGGCAGGGGAGAAGATGTTAAAGAAGGAACCATGCTGGCAGGTCATTTCTATTATCTTCCACCTAATTCCTAGCTAAGGAACACTGACAGAAGTGAAGCAAGGTAAAGAGGGAACAGACAGTGTGACTGTCAGATTGTATTATGAAAAGCCTGTGATCTAAAGGGCTTTTTCTTGTGCCATATTGATCTCTTGGAAACCAAACGCTGAAGAGAGATATGTCTGCAGATTAGATGAGAGGGTGTTTGTGGCAGCAAATCTGCATGAAAACTTAAAAAAATATCCTGGCTCAAATCCCTCTTCCTCTTCCCATAGTAATCTTTAATGGAGAGCCTGCTTCATTCATTGCTGAGTAATCATTAAGGTAACTTTGTGGGATATGTGCTTGAAAATAGGTGGTGGTGGTGGTTTTAGGAAAGAAAGGAACATAAGGGATTAGGAGCATACATTCAAGAGGAATATCAAAGGAATTAATAGCAGGTATCAGCAGAGTTCTCCATTATCTTGAAATTACACACAATTCACTCTAAATGAAAACTCAAAGAAGAGATATAAGGCTTCAAAATAGATTATAAATTATAAAACAGTAAAAAGAATTGTACACCTGAAACTTACATTTCGTGAACCAATGTCACAAGAAAAGTTTTATAAATAAATAAATAAAACAGTAAAAAGATTATAAAACAATTAAAAAGTGAGAATTTAGTGGAGCAGAAGAAAGAAATGGAAGGGAAAACTAAAAGCATTATATAAATGAAATTCACCTAAGAAACCACAAGAATAATCACTACAGGGTACTGATGAGGCCCGGAGAAATCATATAGAATGAAATGAATATAAATATGATTATAGAGAAGACCAATAGCATAGAAAGGTATTTGAAAACATATATTGTCCCTAAAGAAAAGAACAAACAGATGGAAAAAAAAAATTCAAATATATGACGGAAGAAAATGTTGCTGAAATAGACTTGACTCTTTGGAAGAGAAACTGTAGACCATAAAAAGTTGATATGTAACAGTCAACACCAAGATATATCCTGGTGAAGTAACTAAATTTCAGGGGAAAAAATCAACAAATGGGCATGTAGCCAGAAAAGCAAGTAATATTCAAAAGAAAATTTCAGGTTGACTTTACACTTCTCTACAATTACACTTAATGCCAGAATACTGTTTGCCCTCCATATCTGAGGGTTCTGCTAATGTGGATTTCAATCAAATACTGATTGAAAAAATATATATTTTAAGTTACATTGTTGTTGACATGTACTATGTAGTTAGGCTTAGGAGGTTGCCTCTCTACTGAATGTGCGCAGACTTTTTTCTTGTTGTTATTTCTTAAACAATACAGTATAACAACTATTACATAGCACTTACATTGTATTAGATAGCATAAGTAACCTAGAGATGACTTAAAGTATATAGGAGGATGTGTGTAGGTTATATGCAAACACTATGCCATTTTATATAAGGGACTTGAGCATCTGTGGATTCTGGGTGTCCTTGGGGGTCCTGGAACCAATCCCCCACAGGTACCCAGGCATGACTGTACAGTAATGCCTATAAAGTTCTAAAGTGAAATAACGTGTGCTCCAAAAATATTTTACCCAGCAACGAGTTCCTCATGTTCAAAGCACAGGCAGACATTATCAGGTAGATAAAAGACTCAGGAAGTATGACACCAATGAGCCCTTTTTGGAAAGATGTGTTGTTCTGAAATATAACTGATGAAGAAATTAAATAAACATTCAGGAACTGAGAGGACAATGTATGAACGGCGAGCAATGAATCAATTTAAATGAAGAACTGAGATTAAACAACCAGTAATTTTTTTTGTAGAACAGAAAGTAAATGCTTTAAACCATGACAATGTAAAAATAATTATATTATAAAAATTGTACTGTGAGGAGGAGAGGTGGTGGGAATAAGTATAAATTGTGCTAATTTACCCACCTTTCATGACAAGGAGTCAACAGATACCATCTAAAGTCGATATGTATTATTTTTAAAAGCAACTCGAACCCTTAATATGTTTCCTAATAATTTTTCATAATTTTAGAAGAATCTTAGAATTACAGAGAAACACTTTTGATTACAAAAAAAATGCTTATTATAGGAAAATCAAAAACAGAAAAAATGATAAGCACCCATAATCCCATGATCTTGCCAACCAAAGAACACCACTGCCAATATTTTGTTGTATATTCTTTAAGACTTACTTCTAGGTATGTTTATTTTTTGATACAAAAATGGGATCATATTATACATGCCCATTTTGTCTTCTTTGCCCTACTTGTGATATTGGAGTTAGACACTGAAACATTTCTTCTTTATCAGCTGGCTTTGTCAATGGAGGGTGTTGGAGGGACACTGTAAACCATACAAAGAGAAAGGGATTTCTCTTTCTGGTATTGGTAAGCTGTTTTGTTTTTTGGTGGGTCCACCAAATCAACATATGGGTGGCTTGAGAGCTTGTGGTGGACCAGCTCTGCCCACCCGTGCCCTCCAATGAGTTTTTCCACCACCCAGAAGGCCTTTCCTATGGAATACATACCCTTCAGTGAATTTCTCTGCCATTCGGCAGGGCATGCCTACAAACCAGTTCTGGCCTATGCTCTTTGACAAGCTTCTTCACCACCAGCAGGCTGTGTCCCTTTGGCAGCCACAACCTCAACAAAAACATCTGAATCTTGGCTTTGGGCTAAATTCTTTGGGCTCAGCTTCTAAATTCTTGGTTTCTTCCTTGTTTACTCTTAGTCCTAGAGGTAAGGCTCTTTCCTGCATTATCTATTTTTATATTCCTTAGAGTCCTCTTTTAACCCTTTTAGTAGTTAACGACTTTTTACTAATTAAACGTTCTTTACAGTAAATGTCCCTTGTTTAAATTACTGGTATGATTTTTATCTCTTGATTGGAACCTGACTGATAGTGGATACACAATATAATCTCATTTCAGATTTAGAACAAAGTGAAGATGATATAAGAAAGGTTGGGGGCTAGAAAAAGGAAACAAAATTGTTTGGAAATATTAATAAAAGGATTCCTTTCTATAAGAATCATTAGGATCAACCTTTGCCACAGGCATGGGCATGGCAAAGTACCTAGTCTTTAGTCCCATATAGCTCTTTTTTCAGAGATGAGTGGCCACACTGCTCAAAATTTTCATCCAGTTCCACAGGTGAAAGGAATAGGGAGTAATTTAGGAAAATCTTTCCCTCAGAGGATGTCTGAAGTAGAAAAGTACGGCATCTGAAACATAGGCTTGATCAGAGGTGAGTCCTCCTCTACAATCTAAGCCAGCTAAACTCAGAGTTTCTGAGAAAAGGGCCTCAGTGTTCATGTTATTTACTGATCTGTTTACCTAACATATATTAACTGAGCATCCACTACATTCCAGACATTGGATTAGGTATTGGGAATACAAAAATGAACATATGATATGGTTTCTGTCCTCAAGGAACCTACAGTTTAATGGAGGGGAAATGTATGTGTAAATGGATAATAACAATATACTACGACCAGTGATCAATAAGGCAAGCACTATCTATTACTGGAAAACATAGAATCAACAGAACATGGTAATTGCCTGTTCTGTTGCAATTTCTTTCTGGGGAAAGAAAGAAGTCAAAATGATTTTTTTAGTTTTCTGACTTGAGCAGTAGGTGGGATATGGTGCTGTTTATGAAGACAGAGGACACAGGAGGAAGAATAGATTTTGAGGGTGGCAAGAGTAGGTTTGAAGATTTGAAGATGAGTTGAGTTTTGATCATCTATTGGTTTCTAACAGGACTAACAAGAGATAGAGCAAGTTCAAGGAAAGTTAGGGAGCTATCAATTTCCAACTCCACAGATCAGGCTAGCCAACCTTTAACGAAGAGCAGAAGTATCTTGTCTCTAAGAGTCAAAGCTATTGGGAAATCCTTAATCCTCTATTCCGCTGAGCTCTTTAAAAACTTTTCTTTTTTCCAACCAAAATTCAAAGAACTCAATGCTAAGTTAGAGGACAGAGTCCTTACCCTGTGAGATCAGCTCTGTCTTCTCCTCTAGCATCTCTTCCTTACAGAGATTCCATTGAGTGCAGATCCAGTGCTCAGCATCTTTTTGTGATTCATTCACATCCACATCCTGCAGCATCTTGAATTCCTGAAACAGAAGTTCCTGCTTAAAAACTACCCAATAGAGAGCCAGTGGTAGATACTCCATACTTTCTTTTTAAATCTCTGCTACATCCTGCATTACCTTTGGTCTCAGTAGATAATCTTGCTCCTTGCTTTAAAAATGTATGGGATCATGTGGTAAAAATCGGCTCACATTACCTTGTCTTTTCAGTGCTCAGTTAATATTGTATTTCTTCTCTTCTATTCTCTAGTATTTATCTGCTCTTTAACTGAGCCTCTCCTATGGGCCAGGTACTGTACTAGGTGGTATAATAATAAGAATGACAATACAATAATGAGGACAGAGACCCTCTCCTTGAGAAGCCTGTGGTGGCTGTTATAGACAACATCAATTAAATGGGTTAAGTGCTCAAGAAGATACATATGGGGTGTTGTGGGACCTCAGGGGAAGAGCACAACCTTTTGTGGGTGGGATGGGTGAAGAAACTTCCTGAAGGAGGTAGCTTCTAAACTAAGGCCTCAAAGACAATTTGAGATAACTAGAGTAAAAGAAAAAGGAAGGGCTTTTTAGATTGAGGTTATGGCATGTACAAAGGCCAAGAGGCTGAGAGAAGCTACGATGCATTCATGGATGTACCAGGAGACTAAAGCCCACAGTACAAGTCGAAGAAGCTGGTCAAGTCACGGAGGGCTTCAGGGCCTGGTATCACCAGACTAAGAAGTTTGGACTTTCTCCTGAAGGCAATGGGAAACCACTCAAGGGATTAAAGCAGGAAAATGACATTCTCAGATTTACCTTTTAAAAGACTGCTTTATAGAAAATGAACTGGAGGGTGCAAGGATGAAAGCTGCATTATCAGTTGGGAAACTACAGCAATAATTTATGTCGAAGACAATGAGGGCCTAAATGAGTTACTGGCAGTGGGGAAAGAGAGAAGACTGAGTCAATATATCAAAGAAGCAACAGTAGGCAGAATTGGTGATTTCCTAGATAGAGGGAGTGAGAGAAAAGAGTAGGTATTAAGTATGACATCCAAGTTTCTAACATGAGCAACTGCTTAAGTTAGGTAGTTGAAGTTAAAGAATGGGAGTGAGGGAGAGACAGCAGGAAATTCCACTTCAGACATGCTATGCTTGAAGTACCTGTGGGGCGTCCTGGAGGAAATGTAAAGGAAGATGATTACTCAGTGGGTCAGACCCAAGAGGAAAGCCTAGAATGGAGACAGATTTTGGAATCATTAGCATACCAGTAGTGTCTAATGCAGAAAAGTGGCACTGGTGATTACAGCCTGGAGACAGTTTGGAGTCCTGAACAGAACACAGACTTTGGAAGCGAGCTGAACCAAGTTAGAATCTTGGCTCCTTAATCTCCCTTAACCATCATTTCTCCAAGTATAAAACAGAAATACTACTTTCCCAAAGTGTTACTGTATAGATTAAAGACAAACAAACAAACAAAACCCCTAACATATAGAAAGCCACACACCATTACAGTGTAAGTCTCTCAAGAATGTAAGCTTCATGGGGTAGGGCTCTTTGTTTCGTTCAGTTTTGGAGCAGTACCTAGTTGCTCAATAAAAAATTGTTGGGTAAGTGAATAGTAGGTTAACTCTTCTCTCTTT